TTTCAAAAATAAATAAGGGAAGGTCTTTTACAAGGAAATAAGCCCAGGGGCTGAGCAGGCCTGAGGGGAGCCAGGTAAGTACCTTCATTCCTGAGGGGGGCTCTGGGCCCAAAGCCACTGCCAGCCTCTCAGGACCCAGATAGTCATGGGCAACGGCTCAGTACACGTGGGGCCTCCAGCTCCCAGGGTCAGGGGTGGGCCCTCTCCTCCCCACACTGTTTACCAGGGGAAAGGCAGGCTGAGGGGGGCGTTGGCTTCAGTGGCCATTGGTGTGGGACCTCTGACCCCTGTGCCCCTGGACTTGGCAGAGGGCGACCCCACGTGAGTAACCCCGTCACCTTGTCTGATAGGCGAGCCATCCAGATGGGCCACCCTGCCCAGCCCTGGAGCAGCACAGAAGGGATGGAGGCAGGCGGCCACCCTGGGCCCAGGTGCTGGAGGGCAGTGTCTGTGAGACCAAAGGCTCCGTCCTTCCTGAGGCACCGGGGGTTCAATCCCCCCCCAGTTTTCTGTGCACATGGAGGTGCGGGGTCAGACCATCCTGGGCAGGAGGGCACGCCCCATGCACACACACACACACACACAGACTCCCACGGAGGGGGAGCAGCGCCCCCTGGAGGCACGGGGAGGTGGAGCAGTGACCCCTGGAGGCACTGGAAGGCAGAGCAGCGCCCCCTGGAGGCACAGGGAGGCGGAGCAGCCTGGAAAGGTGTCCTCGGGCAGGGAATGCCCAGCTTCCCTCCATGTTTACAGTCACCCACCCCCTGCCTTCCTTTGTCCCTGGCGTTGGGTGGGCACACCTCCCGGGTTAGAGATCTTTCCAGGAATCGGAGGGGAAGCTGTTCAGAAACCGTGTGGGTCTGCAGACGGGGAGCTGCGGGTCTGAAGGCAGCACAGTGTGTGGGGACCTGAGGGCGGTCACTTCTTCGAGGTCGTCCTGACCCCCCACTTCACCAGGAGCCCCTCTTCCTGCGGCAGCGGCCTCACCAGCGGGACCCGGAGGGGGAGTCAGGCCGGGCTGCTGGGCCGGTGCCCTTGGTGCCCCCCCATGAGGCCCCTGGGAAGGGACAAAGGGAGCAGAGGGTGCTCTCCGGGGGCCACATGGTTCCAGCAGGGCCGGTGGCCAGGTCCCGAGTCCCTGGGCCCGGAGGGTCCCGTCCTGCCAGGGGCGCCCGGACAGCAGTCACCCTCACAGCCGAGCGGCTGAGCCCTCTGCCTCCAGGTCAGGAGATGGA